ACTCATTCAAATCAAAATTCAAATCCAAACTTTAAAAAGAAAGCATAAAAAATAACTAAAAAGTTGGCACTCCAAGGTTATATAAAAGTTTAAAACTAAACAAGTAGTATGATACCTAAAACAAGATAAAGACCAAAAACTCAAGTCTCGAATGTGACGGTTCTGTTAAAGTAAGGTGACCCAAAGACGAAAGTGATAAAAGCAAAATAAGCAATAACCCTCTCCTCTATAGCATCATTGTCCAACTGGACACGCTCCTATAACGTGAAAATGAATATCGGATAATATATATAAGTATAAAAATTTAAAAAAAATATATATTTAAATTAGAAATTAAAAAATAATAAATATAAAGACTAACAAAACTTATTTTAAATTACAGAAATTGAAAGATAAAATAAGTAAAACTATAAAGTTTAAAAATATTTTAACCTACATTATATTTGTAATATATATATATATATAGAGAGAGAGAATTATATGGTTTAGTATATTGTTTAGTGATTAAGTTAAATTTCTTCTTTCCTCAACTGTGATTCAATCCATGCTTTTCTTTTCTTTTTTCTTTTTTTTTTTGAAGCGTGATTCAATCCATGCTATGAATTTTAATTAAAAAAAACTAACTATTATCTGAGGGTGATTAAATTTCTCCATAACTTTTCGTGTTTTTTAATGTCTGTGGATGTGCTTTGCATACCAGTCTATTTATTTTTAGGTCAAGATTCCTCATTTAAACAAAACAAGAAATAATTTATAAAGCATACACATGCCCCATTAAATAAGAAGCCTTTTGAGTGATAACAAAAAATAAATCTATGAGTACTTAGGCCTAAAACGTATAATATCTCACCATTGTAAGACCATGTTATTGTGCATAATCACCTAGGGTCCTTCTAGGAGGCCTAGCTGGTCCATGTCCACCATTATGAGTGCCTGTTCCTTCTTCAGCCATTTTTGTTTCGAGATGTGGTTGATTTGATGAAGTAGAAGAACTTAGAAGATCTTGCTGTTGTGTTTGGAGTCTCTCTAACTGTCTAAGCCTTCTTGTTCTACTGTTGTTCCTCCTTGCCGTTCTTTCAATTTCAGGGTCAAAATGCAATTTTTCGGCTAGAGTTTTCTCTCGCATACACTTTTAAGAAGTCTGCACAGCAAGGTGAGTCCACAAAACACAACAAGACAAATATCTCTATATATTATAAATATTCACAAAATGAATTATTTACACAATTACAAAATCACAAGATTAAGAATTACTAAATAGCACCAAATCCCCGGCAACGGCGCCAGAAACTTGATGAGGTTTTTTCGCAAACCCACCACTTGGAAAGTGAACCAAGTTTCGAAGTAGTATTCAAATATCGTCCTCAGGGATTTGAGTGTTTAGTAATTCTTGCTCTAATGATTTAAATGAGAATATTGTTATGATTGCAAATGAGTGAAGATAGATTAGAACAACACAATAAAATAAAAGTAGTAAAGACAATGGTTAAGAAACAAGGATTGGTTCAGAAGCACTTGCTAACTCGTAGATCTTCTTAAAATAAATGCGATTCTAATTCCATTATTTCCACGTTCATTAAGTAATCCAACAAGATTCCTCAAGGTTGAATCCTAAAGTCATTAAGCTCAAAACATGATTCCTCTATGTTTTGAGTTTAACACTTCGCATTAAGAACAATGACTTGAACAATGTGACTAACCAAATCAAGTCTATTCCTAGAACAAGAAATGATTAGGTGCAAGATTCAGTTCGGGTTTTCGAAAACGTTTTCCAACTGGATTCAAAAGCCAAAAATCATACAACGGGTGATCAAGCCGATATAAGCATTAAGGGAAGAATCAAGCACAAATAATGAGATCAAAATGCATATATTTAAGAAGAAGAGGAGTTAGTAGTTACATCCAACCAATCCTTAAGGAGTTTAGCCACACATGGCCATTACAGGATCAAAGAGTGAAAAGAAGAAATTACAAAGTAAAGGATGAAGAAATGGAGTTGATCTTCGTTCCCAAAGGATTCAGCTTCCAAATCTTTGTTCTCCCTTCGTTCTTTCCTCTTCACGTGCTCTTCTCTCTGTTTTTCTCCCTCTGGTACGTGATTTCCCTCTTTTTCTCCGTTTTCCCCTTTTATATTGGCTTCAAAACAGGGGAGAAGTTGCACACTTTAAGCCCACAGCTGTAGCTGTGGAACCAGCGCTATAGCTGTGGAGACTCCTTCATGGTTAAGTAATTTCTGACGCTCTAGCTATGGAACCACAGCTATGGCTGTGAGTTTCTGTAACTTTTCTTGATCTCCAATGCCTCACCGCTCTAGCTGTGGATCTACAGCTATGGCTGTAACTCTCTGGAGTCCCAATTTTGCACTGCAGGTTTCCACAGCTATGGCTGCAGAACCACAGCCATGGCTGCAACTTTCTGACTTCTAGAATTTCCTTCCAGATTTCTACAGCTATAGCTGCAGAACCAGAGCTATGGCTGCAGAAGTCTTTTCCTCAGTTTTTGCTGCACTTAAGATAGAAAATCAACATTAACTCTTCTACTACTCTTCTATCTTCTAATATAACTTTTAAAGAGTAAATTAGCATAAATATATTTACAATTCATCCAAAAAGAGTGCCAAAAGTTGAGTGAATATATGAATAAAAGACACTCAACAGTCACCAAAGACACCCACTGAAGATGATTTGTCACACAGTGAAGTCAATTTAGAAGATACAAAGGAATCGATCCCTGTTCGGCATTCAGCAAGAACTGCGCAAGAAAATCTTATAAGTATAAGCCTCTTCTATATCAGTTTACTCAATATGTGCTGCTTTCAAGCCACAAAGTTTTGAAAAATAAATTGTTATGTTTTGTGTAACAATGCATTATTTGCTTAAAAATTTCTTTTTTGACTCACCTTTATAGTTTTACTCATTTTGTAATTTAAGATGCATCATAATTTGTAAGTTACTTTAATTATATATATGGTTGACATTTACCAACTCTTGTCATTTGTATGTAATTTGGTCTATTAAAGTATATGAATTATTATCTGGTATTTTATTAATTTGCAGGTTTTGTTCAGGAATCCTCTTAAAATAAGTCAAATATTTAAAAAAAAATAACCACTTTTAACATCGGTCATGTCATGACTGATGCTAAAAGTTAGAATTTTAACATCGGTCATGCCATGACCGATTTTAAAAGTCCCACTTTTAACATCGGAACATCGATCAGCGACCGATGTTAAAAGTCCCACTTTTTAAAATCGGCTCTTTTAAAATCGGTCAGAGAACCGATTTTAAAAGTAAAAAATAACCGATTTTAAATGTTTTTTCCACTGGTGAACACACCTTACTATATCAATCAACGACAGTTTAACCTCAATCAAAGTCAATAAAACCATAGTTAAAGTCAACTCATGCACAAACATTGGCGTCATTTTTTTAGATTATGATAAATTCAATTTTCACTCTTTAACTTAGTCAACACAAGATGTCAAACCACTTGCCCAAGACAACTAATTAATGGCCTTACCCTAGGAGACCCTAGCCGGAGATGAACTCATTTGTATGAATTTCGTGAGCAAATATTTGAGCTCCGATGATATTAAGGAGGCTAAAATTCACCAAATATGTATTGGTCTAGTTTCATACATGGCGACCATATCGAAATAATACTCCTAAGAGGCACCGGATTTAAACCAAAAAGTGTCAAATAATGAAATCATTGTATTAGTTGCCAACAAAAATGGCACTATAGCAGCAATAAGCATAGGGATGAATACTATATAAAGCAGTAAGCAACGATAACATTATGGTTTTCATTTTTAAATTTTCTCAATCTCAATTCCTCTCGTATTGACTTGAATGTCAGTTCTTGCATGTGATAGCACATGTACCTATCAAAATTCGAAGAAGTCACGTGAAGCAAGACCACTTTCAAAGACAATATCGCAAAGGTTGGGTTGATGTTGAACAAAAACAAAGAAGAAAATGCAATAATGAAGGAAAATTTTGAAAACAAAAATAAAGAAACGAGAATATTAAACTTCACATTTAGAATAGAATTGAAATTTAAGTTGACTTGGTTAATTATCATCTTTTTTAGCAAATACATGTTTCAAATAGTTTGTTTTAAAAGTAATTATATTATTAATCACTAAGGTAACTTAATTATTTTTTTTAAGAAAGCTATCTTACCATGAATGATAATATTTTCTATAAATAAAATGGACCCACCACTTATAGGGAGAGGGTCCCACCCACACAACAGAAATTGTCTTAGTGCACCTCTAATGGGAGTGCTTATTGTGTATCTTATTTTTAAGTAGTAGTACTTACAAGAAATTCTCACTAAAATTAGCATACGTGGCAAGACAAGTTCTAAAAATTTTAACTTTGTTGCTTGGAGAAGCAACCGTGCTTAGCACTCTAAAATTTAAAATAGAGAGGTTTGATTGGTTGATGTTGATCCAAGGTGGAAGTGTACAGAGATATTGCAAAGTGTAGTGTGAAATGTCAAAAAGTGTAGTATGAGTGGTAAAAAAGTAGGGATGCTTATAAATAATTTTTATTAAAGAAAAAATTGTAAAAATATAATATGAGTTGCTTATGAATGACATGACACAGTGAGACCCATTTAAATTGGTTGAGAGTTGCTTATAAGCAACGGACATCGTAAATGCTCTTAGGTCATTGGATGCTTTAAGATATGTATTTTAATTATTGTGGTCCTGGATGGCTTCCACCCTCATCTGTCTGAATAAAGCTTAATTGCTCCATTATGTAGCATTTAAAAAACAAAAAAGGTTCACTTACGGACAAGAACTATGGCAAAGAGGAAGATCTAATTGAGAATTTTCCCTGATTCACCTAACTTATTTTAATTAGTTATATATTATAAAACCACAAAAATGTGCGTTCCTGTTGTAATATAATATGTTTGGACTATGGTGACGTGGAGATACGTACTTTGGAAACTGAATCCAGTCTCCCTATAAAAATTACACTCAAGGTTGAGCTTGCTTTCACAGCATTTTCTTCTTCTCCCAGTGCAGCATATACATCCATGAACATGAAAAAGGTGTTGCATACGTTGAAACCAGACATCTTAATGGTGTTTGTGCAGATTGCATTTTCTGCAGTGAATGTGGTATTCAAGCTGGCCATAAATGATGGAATGAGCATGAGGATAGCTTCTGCCTATCGCTTCGCATTTGCATCGGCTTTCACTGTCCCCGTTGCTCTTATCTTTGATAGGTCCATACTATTATTCATTCTTTTTTTTTTTTAAGGCTAAATTTCACATCTAAGTTCTTATAATATTAAATTTATAATTTTAATCATTAAATTTTAAATTTCAAAATTTTAGTCTTTCATATTTTATGAAAATCGTAATTTTAATTTTTTTAAATATTTTTTTTATTAATAGTTAAAACATTAATTGTGATATGATATTAAGTAGATGTCAAAAAAATTAATACTCAATAATATTTATACTTAAATTTTACTACTAGTTTTCATTTTTATTTTATAAAAATAGTAAGATGAGATGAAAATGTGATAAAATTAAAAATTAAAAGCATGACTTATTAACTTAAATTTTATTCAATATTAATTATTATGTTTATATATTTAGTGTTAAGTTAAATAATTTTATAATTTTATCAATTAACGTGTAAATATTTAATGAGGAAAGTAAAATTATAAATTTTATAAAATTAAGAGAACTAAAGTTACAAAATTACAAATAGAAAACCAAAATTGCATATTTAATATTGTAGAGAACCCGAATAGAATACTGTTATGATAATTTGTAATTTAATAATATTATGATGTATAAATTATTTTCTATAATTATAAATTAAAATTTTTATTATTAAGTATTATTTTAAATTTTTTTAGAACTATAAATACGTGGTATTTGTGGTATGTATCTAATAGTGTCACCTACGGAATTTGATTTGTGGAATATTTTGTTCATTCGTGTGAATTTTTATGTGAGAACGTAATAAAAGTAATATTTTTATATAATATTTGAAAAGCTTTTTCATTTAAAAACGATTTTTTAATTTTTTTCTCAATATTCCTTGCATTAATTTTAATGGACTATATATAGTTGGAATCTTGCATATTCGACCTGCGAATATTTTACTGTGTGAAACGTGCAGGTTGCACCACAGTCATGCATTGTCCGCTTTGGTGTTTAATTTTTAAAAAAAAAATAATAAAATAAGTAGTTTTATATATATATATATATA